CGGCGGCGGCGGCGGCGGCGGCGGCGGCGGGGAGGAGGCGGCGTCCCCCGCGGGCGGCGGCAGCGACGCGGAGCACGGCGAGGAGGAGCGGGCCGGGGCCGCCGTGGACTGCGTGGTGTGCGGGGACAAGTCCAGCGGGAAGCACTACGGGGTCTTCACCTGCGAGGGCTGCAAGAGCTTCTTCAAGCGCAGCATCCGCAGGAACCTCAGCTACACCTGCAGGTACCGGGGGGGGATGGGGGGGTTTGGGGGGTGCCTGGGGGGGGGGGTCCCCACCACCACCACCCTCCCTTCCTGGGGTAGGGCAGCGGCGCGGTGGCGGGTCGGAGGGTGGTCCCCGGTGGCACCGGTGCGGGTCACTGGTGTGGCTCTGCAGTGGCCTCTGCGCTGGCCCTGCTGTGGCTGCGTGGTGGCCTCGCTGCAGCAGGAACGGGGGCACCGGTGTGGCCGGACGGGGGGCCCCGGTACCGGGTAGGGGTCCCCCGGCACGATCGGTGGCCCAGGGTGCAGCACAGGGTGCCCGGTACGGCTCGGGGGTCCCCGGAGCAGCACAGAGGTTCCCCCTCGGTCCAGCCCTGGCGTCTCCCGGCAGAGCACAGGCGTCTCCTGGTGCAGCACGAGGGTCCTCCCAGGAAAGCACAGATGGCCCCCCCAGTACAGCACAGTGGCCCCCCGGTGTAGCACGAGGGTCTCTGGTGTAGCACAGTATGGCACAGTGTCCCCCAGTATGGCAGAGGGATCCACCAGAGCAGCACAGGGGTCCCTTCCAGTACGGCACAGGGATCCTTGGGAGCAGCACAGGGATCCCCCCAGTACATCTCAGTGTCCCCCCAGTACAGCACCGGGGTCCCCCCATGCCCTGCACCCCACCCCAGCAGCCCCCCGGCCCCCGGGATGCGTGTGCTGTGTTCCCTGTTCCCGGGGCCCTCGGGCACAGCCGGTGTCCGGATCCTCGTCATCCTCGCCCGCCGCTGCTCCGGCATTAATTGTGCCCGTGAGTCACTCCGGTCACGGCCGCTGCCCCCGCACAGCGCGGCAGGACCGATCCGGCCGGAGGTGCCGGGAACCCGGGCACGGATCCGCTGGGGTGCTGGGAACAGGGATCCGCTGGGATGCCCGGGTGAGGGGCTGCGTCCTCTGCCAGCCCCCCGAGCGCTGCCGTGGATCCAGGCCCACCAGCAGGACCGGGATATGACCCCTGGCAAGTTGGGAGCTGCCAATAACTCCGGAGTTTCTCGGGCTCGGAACAAGGATGGGGCTGGCTGGTGCTTGGAGGGGAGACCCCCCCACGTCAGGCTGCTCCCAGAGGGGGAAATACCTCCATAGGGGCTGGATCCGAGCGCTTCCAGCGGCGTTTTCCAAGCCAGTGAGAGCGCTGCAAGGATGGCACTGGCACCCCATCCATGGGCATCCCTCATCCTTGGGGCACCCCATCTCCACACCCCGCTCTCTGCTTGCCCAGGGAAGGGGTCGGATGCTTCGAGGGAAGGGAAGGGAATTGTCTGGGAGCCGCTTTGCTCCCGTTTGGGCGGCCTAGATTCGTCCTCCCCCGTGCGCAGCGGCTCCGCTCCCGGCGGCTCCCGGCAGCTCCCGGCTCCGGTCCCGGCTGACGTCAGCCAGGCAGCTCGTGGCCGTGGCGTGGGGCCCCCCCGGGCTGCCAGCGTGGGGCAGGGGTCGCTTCCCGTGTCCCCACGTCCCCGAACGTGTCCCGTGTCCCGCCCCGTGGCCGCGGCGCGTGCGGAGGCGTCGCCCCGGCCCTGCCTCAGTTTCCCCACCGGAGCGGCGGGACCCGCTTGGCTCGGGATTAATGATTTGAAGATGGGGAATACAGATGGCTTTTGAGAAATTCCAGCTTCCTGGAACAAAGGGAAGGCCGAAGCGGCTCCCCGGGAGACGGACGGACGCCGCATCCCAGATTGCCGGGGTGACGGGGCTCGGATCCCCCAGGATTTTATCCCACCCTCGTCCCCGGGGTCTGGGCTCCCACTTGTGATGTTTGGGGTTTGTCGGTTTTTTTTTTTTTCCTCTTTTTGTGCCGGGAAGTGATTTGGAGCAACAGAGGAACTGTTGGTTTTCCAAGTGGGGAGTGAAGTGTCGGAGGGGCCGGGAACAAAGCTCCCCCGGCAGCCCCGGCATCCGCTTTGTTCCGGAGTCAAAAGCGGCACCGAGCCCCGATGGCGCTAATTTGAATATTAAAAGTGAGTTGGATTCAGTTTAGTTCTTGCACTAAATAATTACCCGCTCTAATTACATAATTAGCACAGTCGACGCCTTTTGTAGCCTCGAAGTTTCCCAGGTCGCTGCTGCCTTTTCCATTGGAAAACTCGTTAGGAGCTGCTGGTGGGATCCGAGGTGGTTTTGGGGAGGTTTTCCCGGTGCCCCGAGGGCG